GCCATGCAACACATCGTGCTTTGCTCCAAACTGGGTGATGTTCATACAGGAACAGCTGCAACAGATGGGAGGACCCATGCAGCAGTCAGGAGTTGATGACCTGGTGGCTCTATGTACAAAAGAACATGTTGGCAGCTACTCAAGCTCCACTGTCTTTGCTTCATTCCTCTCTCTCTCTCTCCCCCTCTCTCGTCTTTTTTATTTTTCTTTTTTTATTTTTCCTTTCTTTTTTTTCCCTGGGACTGGTACTGAGGCAGTAAATTAAGTATCCTAAGGCACCTTCTAAATCTGTTATGCACTGATTAGCCTGAGCCCATTTACCATAAACACCGGGGCATCTCTCCTCACTGATAATCATTTAAATACCTACAGATTTAGCACTGGCAATGGCAAAAGAGCTCCAAGTGAGTGCAGAGAGGGATTAGCAAGCCAGCCAACTGTATTCTGTAATATCTTCCATTACAGCGCTGGGAATTAGATCAGAAGGGCAATAAACATCATTGGCTCAAATGATGCAGTGGTATTTCAGCTTTCTCTGGCCAAGCACTGAATGAGCTCTGATAACCAGCAGCTGCAGCAGCCACAGCCTCCGAACGGCATTCCCACAGGAGATCTGATTTAAGATGTTCCTTAATTAAAGGACAGTCCCTCTTAAAAAAAAAAAAATCAGTCCTGAATCACCTATGGTTGTAAGAGGGGAAAAAAATATTCAGCAGAGCAGTATCTCTTAATTCATAGCTGTCCAAACGGACTTTGCAAGGAAAAAAAAAAAAAAAAAAAGGAGGGTGCGGAGAAATATCCTTAAGGGTCAGATCCTGGTTTAACTGTGTTGGTGCAGAATGATTTTACGTTAGAAACCAGAGTCACCGCAGCTGCACAGGAGCACTCGGAGCTCTGCTGACCTCCTCTCTGTCTAGAGCTTGCGTTTAGTTGCCTTTGCAGAAGCTGGATGGCAGCATGTCTGTAGGAAAGATAACTTATCTTCTTCCTAAAAGATTCCCCGTGATGCTCAGTTCCTCACCTCCCCCGGCAAGCTGCTCAGATGCTTAATTACCTTCTCTGCTAGGAGACTGCCATATTTTAAGGCTGAATTTGTCTGACTTTCACTTCCAGGCACTGGGCCTTTGTGTGGGCGACTAAAAAATCCCCCGCTATCAGATGCCTTCTCTGCATGCAAGGAACTGTCAGACATGCGTTTCAGCAGACTTCTTATGGCTGGTTTTCCAGCACCTGGATCAATGCTGTGTCTCGCCTTTGAACTCCCTCTGCTATCTCCCCATCTCAAAGCAGAACTGAAGCCGGTAGTGCAGGGGCAGCCTTACAAGGAGGGCTACAGAAGGAAGATAAATGCCTCACCTTCTTATTTCCAAATAGCCCGGATAGCTCCTGTCCTATCTGTCAGAGCACTTCATGCTGAAGTCATTCTCTCTGGGTACATTTTGGGTTACTGCTTCCCAGAGCGCAGCCTGTAGTCCTGCACTCAGACCTCCCATTTGTCATTCCTGGGTGCATTTCTCTGCTCTTGGATGCACCGGGATAGCTTCTGGTATCCCTGTTCAGCAGCCTTCACTGTCAGCACAGCAGCAACTTCTGCGTGTTAGGAGTTGTCACCCTGAAAAAGCAAGTGCTGCTTCTGATTTTATTCACCACACCAATCTGCGTGGGGCCCACTGCCTTTAAAAGGAATTATCCTGTGTCGTCTAGGGTGTTCACACAAATATCGAGTAGTGCTGAACCAAGAACCGTCCCTTAAAAAGACCCAGCTACTAATGAAACCATGCATGGGTGTTTACCTGTTAGCACCCACTTTTGGAGATCTGTCAGAAAACCAACTGTCTATCTGCAGTTGCCTACGTTTAAAAGCTTAGAGCTGATGTCTACTCCAATTGACTTCCCTTTCTACTCATTCTCTGTAGATTGATTTTTGTGCTTCACTGCTTCTTGCCCTCTTTTCTTTTCTTTTCTTTTCTTTCTTTCTTTCTGTTTTTTTTGACCAAATGTTTTTGGGTGTTCCTCACCCTGCTAAAATGGTGTTGTTGTTCCCTCTGCTCTTGGTGGAATCGTGGCTTCCTGAGCATTCACTTAGACACCCACAGGCAATTGCAGTTTTTCTAACCCTTTTTGTTATTAAGCAAGTGTAATATTTTCCAGGCAACCCTCTGTAAAAAGAAGGTAAGTAAGTAAGTTCCAGAAAGGAAAACAAAAGTGCCTGTAGACCTGAGGATTTAGATGGGGAGAGGTTTCCGTTACCCTTAAGCACAGGAAGGGCTGAGAAGAGCCTCTTTCCATTTCCTTTTGATCCTCACAAGATGGAAATCACCATCTGTCTGCATCTCCCTGCCCTTCCAGCTGTGAGGGGAGCTGGAATGGTAGAGGATGAGGTCCATCAGCAGCATCTGTCTTTGATAACTCTATAAAGCCACGGAGCCAACTCTTCTGCAATGCATACACTAAGCCTCATAGCCAAGGGATTAACCCTGTGGGATCTGACACACTGCAAAGTTCCCTCCATCCCCTTCAAAGCTTCTCTTTCTTGTCTTCATAGGAACAGCACTGTTGTCAACTCCAAAGTCATCTCCGTGACTGTGAAGCCATTTCCCCGGTCTCTCCTTACCCCCTTGGAGATTGAATTCTCCCATCTGTACAATGTAAGTCTACCCTGGAAACCCACATCACCCCTATCTGTGCTTGCTTCTGCATGAAAGAAATGAGTTGGGGCAAGGAAGGATGAAGTTTTACCAGGTTCCTGAGGTGTCTATATCACTGCAGGACACTACTACCACTGCATGCTAGAACATGGACATTTTTGTCCCAGATTCCCACCTTTTCATTGTGGGACATGACTGGGGTAAGAACAGTGTCTTAATCATTCAGCCATTAGAAAACAGGTTATAACAATGATCTTCTTGGATAAGGAAGAGAGCGCTGAGAAAGGTTGTTTCCATTGATGTCTGCAACATTCTTTGTAGTTCTCTGATACTATAGGAGACACAAATTACATTATTGTTGTGATCAGTGCTTTAAAGGGCAATTGAATATCCCAGAATCCCCATTTGTTCCTAAACAGACATATATGATCGATAAATACATACTCCAAGGCCAGTTTTTGCTGCGGAGTTCACATATCCTTCTGAGGCTCCAGAACATGTGTGTTAGATCCATCATATTTTTGCTTCAGACTTTCTGGGAAGGCATTTCCAAATTGTTCTGCCTAAGAGAGCTCCAACTGGAGTCAACAATAAACCTCCTTCAGGGAGCTTTAAATATACCTGAACACATTCTGCAGAACTGTGGCTTTTCTGAGAAGTGTGTGCCACAAAAGCATGCACTGTATTTAATCTGCTTTCCAGAAGGGAGCAGCAAAAGGATTTTTTGTGTGAGAAGGAAAGAGATAGAGCATCAGCAGGTAGAGAGAGGACAGATGTGGAGTCAGATCCTTGCATAGATCTTGTGTCGATGGAAAAGAAAGTGAGGCCCATTCTCTTCTTGCCTTTCAAGCCACAGGTGAAAGGATCTATTCCAAGGGCCACGATCTGTGACTGTCTATGCAGAGTAGTGGAAGCAGCTCTACAGGACTTTCGAATTTTGTTCTAGTTGTTTCAAATACCCCATCGACAGCACAGCACTGTTTTGTTTCATTCCTCCCCTTCTCTTCTCCCAACAGGGAACAACCAACCAGACCTGCATCCTGTGGGATGAAGCTGACAGGTGAGTTGTCTGGATTTTTCTTTACTCTCAGGTAAACTCATTTATTTCAGACTGTTTCTGGGATGAAGCTATCACAAGTTTGGCAGCAACCTCCAGTCTATTCCAGTCATTCCACTCCACTCTGCTCTTCATTTATTTATTTTTATCAACCTTCACTGTTGGCAAAGCCCTTCACCCAGGTGGGAACTGATCCTTCCTTCACCAGCATGGATGCACCTGTTTTTCCTCTGCATTATTTTGCTGACAGTTAAACCAGATCTTATATTTAAAGATCTGAAATCAGGTGTTCTCAGGGCAGTCCCTGGAGTGCCCTGTGTGCTGGGAGCATCACATAAATGAACCCATGTGTTATCTCTAATATGCCTAATAGAGTTGTTTATGTTTGCTTCTGTTCACAAGGATGGATATTTGCATTCTCCCCTGACAGTTTAGACCCCACATTAAGGAAAAGTGGCCTCTCATTGTGACTCTTCCACTTCTTTTTGATTTAACAACATTAGGAATACTTGAACGCTGTTGCAAAGTATGGCCTGCAGTGATGAAGCAGAAATTGTGCCACTGTGATGTAGTAAAATGATTTCTGTGAGGATTCCTGTTATTGTTGACTGTTCGTGAGCCTTTTAGAGTGATGTAACTGTGGCCAGCAGGCAAAAAAAGAAATCCAAAGTTACCACAAAGAGTCAGGGCCAAAAATCCCATACAGAAAGTAACTGTCAGAAAGTCTTCATTGTAAAAAATAAAGTACGGTCTAAAAGTGTAGTCTTAAATCCTGAGTGAACTTGACAAGGACCTGAAATGTTTGATTTAATGGTGTTTTCACTTCACTGACTTTTGCATCCTGGTTTGAAGACCAACCTGATTCCTTTTCTGTTTAGAGTCATCTTTTCTGCATAAGACCTCATGCATTTGGCACATACCTTTGCATTTATTACCATTATTTTTTACTATTAGCTGCAGCATCTGAGAAACGATTCTATTCTTCTCCTTTTATGCTCCATTAAGTAGTATAAGCACACATAGGTGGGCAACATATTTGCAGAGAGCTTAATGCTCTTGTTGGGCTGTGATTAATTTGGCATATACGAGATTTAGATCGAAGCTGAAGAACCCATGGGTACTCCTTGTTGTACCCAATGGTAGAACGGGTCCCTCTTGGTCATAGTGAAAATTGCTCCAGTGTTAGAAGATGGTTGGGCTGGAGCAGCAGTGTCTGTCATTTGTGTGCTGTGCTGAACTCTCTCAACAGGTCTTGGGTGAACTTTTATGAAATCAGGGCAGCATCATTACTCTTGACATGTCCTGGGAGGTCCATCAGCTCCACATACTTGATCCCAGGGCTTGGCAGCTTGTTCTATGGCTTGTAGTCTCTCAGGGAACAAGGGATGCTAGGAACGCTTTCACTCTTTAATCCTTGCCACTCCATGGCATCAAAGGATGGGCTTGAAGCTAAGAGTTAAGCAGGAAATTTCTTGGCACCGGCATTGCGGTTTGGTTGTCAAGGATGGTTTTGAAAACTCCAGTAGACTGGCTGCACAAATGTTGCTGCTAAGATTCTACTTTGTGTGTGTGCCAGTGTGTGTCAGGGCACAAATGCAGGTGCTTTCAGCCAGCAACATTTGCAGTCTAAACCAGTGAAAATGCCCAAAATCAAATGCAGGTGCTTTCAGCCAGCAACAAGTCTAAACCAGTGAAAATGCCCAAAACGACAGTGTCAGCAGATTTTGCTAGGGGATATTCCAAAGCTAGATCTCATTCTGTGAGCTCTGGCTGCAAAGAGGAGCTGCAAAATTGTTTGCAGAAGAGTTTAAAGTTGATTTGCTATCATTGCCCCCTCCTGGGAAGGCATAATGAAAATTTAGCTATGCAAATCCTGTTCTGAAGTCTGAATGGCCATCCCAGACTTGAACTGAACCCTGCAGCTATCCAGACTTTTGCATCACAGTTTGGGAAAATCATTTTCTGTTTGGAACATGGACTTTTTAGGTTACATGCCTGGTTTCTAGTAACTCTTTTTTTCAGAGCTGCATGCTTTCAGATATGAAATGTGAGTGTCCTGTACCTAAATCAGCCTCATCTTTCTCCTCCAGTATCAAGGATTTAGCAACATTTCTAACCAAGCATAAGAATTGTGCCAAAGGAAGAGGAAATCCCAAAATCAGAATGCCGAAGCTCACCCAACTATAAGCATCATGTGCTGTGCGAGGGTTCTTGTCTCTGTGGGCAGCACATGCTGTGGCTGCTGCCTCTTGCAGACCAAAGTACATGCACTGATAAGCAGATGACAGTCTAAGTATGATCTGAGACCTGTTGTCTAATGCATAGTGGAAATCGTGATCACAATCTGAGACACGAAATCCCAAGCTTCAGTGCCCCTTTGGAAGGGTTCCCCTCTTGGTGCTATCTTTTCCATCTTTCTGCCTCCTTTTTAAATTTAAGTTTGATTTTTAAATTAAAATGGAGGTTACTCCACTGATCAGTCACACAAGGTGGTTGTGCAAGTGGGTGAAACTGAGGACATCCCGCCTCCCAGCTCTGCTATAGGTTCGCTGTGTGACCAGTTTAATTGCTCTATGAACACACTTCCCTGTCTGTTACTCATCTTGCTTTATTCTCCATGCGACCCAGGCCAGTCTGCCATGGCATTGTTTGCTCAGAAGACACTGCTTCTCTTAAATCTGCTCTTTTGATGGTTCTCCATACTCTGGCTCCAAGGCTGGCTGGCCAGGAGGACCTTCCCTGTGTCCCTGACTGTCTCTTAATGGCTTTGGATCTTAAGGAACCAAACTAGATCTGAGGCCAGGTGCTCCACGCTTGCACCTGGATGCCTTCACTTTTCTGCATCAAATGCTTATTGCATCCTAGTGAAAGCCCTCAAGACCTGAGCGGAACTTCATAGAATCATAGAATCGTTAAGGTTGGAAGGGACCTCTAGAGATCATCTAGTCCAACCCCCTTGCACATGCAGGGTCAGGATTTTGTCCAAGCAAGTTTTGAATATCTCCAGAGGAGATTCCACAACCTCTTTTGGCAACCTGTTCCAGCACTCTGTCACCCTCACTGTTAAGAAATTTTTCCTAAAGTTGCCGTGGACCACACTTTTCCTTGGTGTGTTTCTGGCTTCTCTTGTGCATTATCCATTATTTTCTCTAAGGACATGAACTGAGAGAGGACAATCCATACCTGTTAAGACCGGAGCGAGGCTTTTTGCTTATATCTTCAGTAATGCTTTAGTTTCCAGCTGCAGGGGTGAGGAGTCTCTTGTATCAGCCTCAGTTCTCCTTTCCTCAAGCAGGACAGATGAGCCTTTCCCCCCCAGATTCCTCCTCTAAGCAGTGGGGACTCTTCTCCCATTGCTGTCTATTCTTCAGCCTCTTTTTATCTCCCTTGGCAGCTTGGCTATTTCGTCAACTTGTAAACACCTTATTCCTCCCTTGTTGGCTCTCACCTTCAAAATGCCTTGATGCAGCTATGAGGTTCCCAGACAAACTTCCCTATCAGGATGCCAGCGCTGCTGATGACTGAGTGATGGATGGAGCCTGTGGTCATTCAGGTATCCGAGTGAGCACAGGGGTCTTCCCTGGGATGTGCATTGTGCATATATAGGGTCCCAGGTCCCTGATATGAGACTTCAGGACTGAGGATCCCAGGACTGAGATGTCTTGGAAAATGTCTGGAAAATGCATTTGGCGGGGTAGGGAGAAGGAAGATACAGCTGCGAGGAGGTACAGTTCTGCATCCTGCCTTCAAGCACATCAAAAGGACAACGGATTATGAGGAGTCCTCAGACAGGAGCAGGTTTAGGTCTCAAGTCTGCTTTATCAGGCCCAGCCTGCTTTAGCAGATCCTGTAAGAGATGGAAAGACGTGATGTGCTGCGGTGCTGGATGGGAGCCGGCAGCACTGGGCATCTGTCATCAAAGATAGATAGACTCACCTTCTTCTGACAGGGATTAGCCTTACGGCTTTGTCTGGTGTTTGGTAAAACTTCTCACTTCTCCCCTGCACTCTTGGTGAAGCACATGGATTTATTCCCCTTACCTTTTTGTGCGATTTATCCCCCTTACCTTCTGTGCGACTGAACATACACCAAAGCAGGAGACTCAAAATGATGCCTGTATGAGAGCTGCCTGTCACAGCTGCCACCTGAGCTTTCAATCCCATCCAAAAGACGTCACGGCCCTTTTAAAGGCCACTTAAAATACATGGGCCATGAAGGGTTGAACTGTAAAATTGCAATTAGAACTGACAATTATCGTGTGGGCATGTGCTTCCTCCAAGATGGAGTTGTTAAATGAAGCACTAAAAAAATAAAAGGAAAAAAAGAAAAGGTGGTGGAGAAGCCCCCAGTGTTCATTCATTTGCATTTAGATAGATATTTAAGCTTGTACTATTAATAATGGATTTTTGATTTATTAATCCCAGCTCATTTGAGTGACTGCTAGATTTGTGGGTGGCACCCTTCCATCTCTTTTCTCTTTCTGCCCTCTCTTGCCCCCAACCCCTCACGACATCAAATAAGAGGGGAGAAGATCAAGGATTAATTTCTGTTGTGTTTGGTGCTGCAAGTATGATTAATGAGCTTAGCACCGGCTGGGTAAATTGAAAGTTGAAGTCAAGGAATGATTTGGGATTCTCTGGCTCTCCTCCAAGCGTATTCATTTAGAGTAATTACAAGCCACTTAGCAGCCCTGATGAAGTTAAAATCTAGGTGATATCTAGTCTCCTGCTCCCCCTTTCTTCTTCTGAGATAGGATGGATGGAGCTGAGTGGAGTGCATCTTACCTGCATTTGTGTTTGTGAGCATGATATCAGGCATTCATGATATAAGTAAATATTTCTCACCTGCCTTGCTCTGGCACAGGATGGTGACATTGCATGGGGGACAATCAACCCTTTGCTTCCCGAGGGCCAAAGTTTTTTAGTGGTGGCAGCATCTTAATGGTTGCAGCAGATGTGTGGCAGGCAACTCAGCAGTGGACAGTGTTAAAGAAAAGTCCTTTCACCCACAGGGATGACAGATGCGTGTCCTCACACCTCGAAAGCGGCATTTCCTCAAAAATTACAAAACTTCTTTTTTTTTTCTTTTCTTTTGAATGTAGAATTGAGTCAAATGATGGTAACTACTGATAGACCCACCAGCACAGCCTAATGTTCAGCTTCTCTTTCCTCTGGTGCTTCCCTGCCTGTGAGACCCATTGGAGGCCAAGCTGAGGCTGGTATTTTGTCTTGCAGTGCATGAGAGAACATCATGTTATGCACATGTGAAATACAGTCCTGTACTTGGAGAGAGTTGGATTCATCAGGTCTGTGCTCACTGATGACATCCCAGAGGGAACGAGGGGCTGCCTGCTTTAAGAGGAGCTCCAGCCGTCCTCTTTTCTTTGCTTTTCTTCCTCCAAGATGGGAATAATCATAGCCAGGCATTATAATAACTGCTCTTCAGAGGCCTTGCAAGGCTTTACAAATATTTGCATAAAGGGCTTCCTGCTCTTCGAAGAGAAAATGCCTCAGAAGTGTATGGTTTTAATTCAAGGACACTCTTACCTTCCCTTGGGAAAGATCATCTGTTCCAGTAATTAAAGCCTTTAACCCATCTAACTTTGGAAATGCAGACCTCTGTTTGTGAAGCTGCAGCAAGGTTAGATGTTGGAGAAGAAGAAGAGGCTGCAGGGGGAGGCCCAATCACCTCCCCATGGATCTGGGTTGGATGTGATCTCCAGCTGGGATCAGGATGGAATCTTCCCTGCGGCTTCCCAGTTGCGCAGCCTGGTGTTTTACCACACTGCCAAACGGAAACTAGACTATCAGTCTGATCCCATCTGGAAGCTTATGTGATCCTAAAATACAGCTCGAACTCTGAGCACTGTCCTGTGTGGGGGGTGTTTTTGGAAAGGAACTGCTGAGATGTAGGGTGTATTTTGGTCCTTGCAGAGCATGGTTGACAGAGGTGTGGAGGGATAAGGGTGCACAAAAATCATGTCAGGATTGAAGGTGACCATGCAGAATTGCAATGCACAAGGAGAGCTCTGCAGTAAGAGGTTTTTTTTTTTTTTTCTGGAGCAAGTGAGAGGAGTCCCAAAATCTCCTGTCAGGAACCAGCGTTTTCCCCGAGGATAACTGTACTTTTGGGAGCAATTTATGTTGCAGCAGTTCCCCGGGTTCTGCAGGTGCAACTGCTTTGTCTGAAATTCCTATTTTCAGGGTGGGATGTCCAGTTTCTAATCTACACAGTCCCAAGCTGCCCAAATTCCTGACTGCATGTCTTATGTGATTAAGAGAAAGTCATGCACTGATGCATGTGCCAAGGCAGCTCAAGGAGAAGGACAGGACATACGCTGCAGGGGCTTTACTCTAACTGTAGAAAACCTGATAGTTTGAGGAAAGGCAGGAATTTCTCTCCCCTGTGCTTTACTGCAGTGCCAGGACTGGTGGTTACTCTGTCATGGAGGAGGGATCACACCTATAGGATCCTATAAATATTTTCTGCTCATCACATCAGTTTGATTCACCTTATCTGGAAAGCTTTTTTTTTTTTCTAAAGTTAGGAAACTGCTTCCCTTTGCTTTTGCACATCAGTTAGTGCATCACTGTCATTGCCAGGGCTGTAGATCGAGAGGTAACATGGTCTGGCTATTCTGACAAGAACAGAAAAATTCCTCTGAGCAAGAGGGAAAGGAGACTCACTGCAGCACCGGGGCCTCTGAGAAATCAATGCACTTCTCTCCTCCTTGCACCTATGCACAGCACATTACATACAGGCAGCCGAGGCACAGAGGTTTGCCAGGACCCAAATTCCAGCTCAGCTGCCCCTAGCAAACACCTTCATCGTGGTTTCTTTTTAGCTCCATCCTCAAATGCTGCCTCTCCTGGCTGACGGTGCGGATGGGCTGCGGGGATGGGGAAGAGGCAGCGTGGTGATTCCCAGCTTGCCTACACGGGGGCACGTGGGGAGATTAATCTGAACCGATGCCTGTGTGAATTACTCCCACTGTGTTAAGCCTAGCTGAAAGACCCCCTAAATCAGGCTATCTGACTTCACTTCCAAAGCGTGCCCAGACAGACCGAACCCTGGCCCCTGGAGCCCTCCTTTGGCCCCAAATGAGCATAGCCACAGTGGGGTTAATGCAGTGATATGAAGTCCCACCTCTGGTTCTTGCAGTTTTAGCTTCCCTGTATGGTCTGGTGCAAAATGCGTGCAAGGATGCGTAGCGGTTGTGTGAATATTGGAAGAAGAGGGTCTGGCATGTGTATGTGAGTGTGGACATGTGCAGGTGCGTTTTCATGTGCAAATGTGCTTATTTGCAGCTCTCTGCAAACGCAAGGCAGTATTTGTATATATGCGTTTGTGTGCTTTGCCTGTGTCCCTGCATGCTCCCCTTCTTTACAGCTGCCTGCTCTGAGGCCACGCTGCCCTTTTCTCTTGTTCCCTTTGCGGAGGGGAGGTGACGAGGGTAGCAGCCACATGCCTGTCTGTGGCCACTTCCATGGACCATGCCAGGCTTGCTGAGTGGCTCTGGGTCTAGCTGCAAGTCACCTTTGTGCGTGTGGGGAGAGGGACCCCCCCGCCTGTTATCTGGTGCGTTGCTGCTGCGTTTCACCCGTTTTTGTCTGCATGGCATCTTGTGTGCGCTGGGAATGCAATAACACAGCATAGGCAACTGCCTGTGTTCGCAGAGCGCTCTGATTCACAGCTCTAGGCTTTCCAGCGTGGAAGAAAAGGGCACTGGGGAAACCTGAAGCCCTTCCCTGGTATGCTCTAACGCCAATGACTCAACAGCTGGGAGGGAGCAGCTTTGATGCAACTCTGAGGGAGGCTCAGGTTGCTTTGATGCAACTTTGAGGCAGGCTCAGGTATATAGAGGAGATATCCGATACCTTCATGTGTAAATCCTCCTTGTGCAAACTCAGAGCAAAGTGGGTAGTATTTGCAAAGAGTTGCTCTCTTTCACTTGCTTGATTTGCTTCTCCTTTTATGAGAGCAAAGAAACCCACCTGGATCCAGAGCAGGACCTCCCAAGCAGTGCTGTCTCGCAGCCTGCAGATCCTAACAGCATCACAAGAAGATCGAATCTGCAGCCTCTGCAGGACTGTTTGGCTTTGCTGGAAGCTGACGGCTGCAGAGCAGTCAGTGCATGACACGGGGCAGGTGTGACATGATCACGAGTGTCTCAGGGTTTGCATGGCCAGAACCCTGGCAACCACCAGGGACTTCAGCACTAGGTGATGCTTGGACAAGTCACATCCTAAAGGAAATCATCCTGAATTTGGCATTCCTTTTCTTATTTGCTTTGTAATTAGCCACAAAGGGGCAACACTGCCTATTCCAGAGGGCAGACCCTGCAGTGGGGATCTTAAAGGGTGTCAGTACTTCCCCCGCTGTTGCCTGCTGCCCTGCAGAGTTCTTGCTCAAGTGATGGCCAAAGGAAGTGGTCAGGGTGCAGAGGTGGGTTTGTGTGTACATCTCCTTGAGTAACGGTGAGCAGGACAGAATGACGCTAAAACATAACAGGGAAAAAAAGGAGATTCTGCTGGGGATACAGATTTCACCCAATGGCAAACTCACTGTCTGTGCAGATCAGTGTAACCCTTGGGCCTCAGTTTCCCCCAAGTCTGCAACAATAACAGTAATGTCAGGCAACTCTTGCAAATACCTTGAAATCTAGGAATGAGGAGCTCCATTTAAGTGATTATAAATAGCACAAGACGTATTATTGTTTATTGCTGTGAAACAACTTTCTGAATGTGTGAGCTCAGTGATAGAATTTGTCACCGACATGAGAGAAACTCACACCTTACCAGTTCTGCCTGTCATGTCCCAGTTGTTGCATGAGGGATGGTTAATTCAAG